AGATATATCAGAAAGATTAAACACTACAAAAAAGAAGAGTCTAACCAAGCAAGTAGGCCTGTCAATGATACTTGAAACTTGACAAATTGATGTGATTATCACGTATTTGGATGCAATGTTTATATATTTAAATTTGAATTGTACAATTTGCATTTGATTAATAATAAAAACATAAAAAATAAAAATTACATAAAGTTTATAGAAAATTTTGGATATACTATTACTATAATTATCATCATCTAGAATTTCCACGTGCAAAGCATGTGCACTTATTAGTGTACCCAAAAGTGTAATATCCGTTTGTTGTTCAATTTCTCTTCTTGGGCAATGGTGATGATATAAGGGTTCGGCTATGATACCAAAAAACATCATACTAGACAAACTTGTAACCAATCAAACCAACATCGTAAAAGGTGATAACCAATTATGTGGTATTTAACAAAAAAATAAGGGTTTTGATTGGTCAAAGCAAGGATCAAATTTTGAAATGTTAATAAACATGAAATGCAGCCCCCTTTGAATTTTGAAAAAAAGATACAAAGTGCATGTACCAATACACCCCTTCCACAATATCAAGATGCATTGATACTTTGAACCTTTATCAAAAGTGTCATGTCTTTCATGCAATACAAATTTTTCTTTAGTTCAACTTCACATCTAAGTAGTTTAGTTAATATGGGTCAAGTAACTCGTTTGAATGCAGACGACTGATTACCATTTGCAATCCTATTGGTTAATGAAAAGCATCCCAAATTTTAACTATATGTACGATAACCCATGGGAGCTTGGATATGATACCAACCAAACTCTGAACATGATATACAACTTTACATCTCAAGCATATTTTATACTCATATGTTGTTATTGATGGGGTGGTACTTTTGATTTTGATAGTAAGATAGCAATTAAATTTGAGATGTGCAGCTCTTAATCATGTTGGAAGTTGTTTTCGTAGCAAATCCAAACTATGGACCTATTCATTTGCTCTAAAGTTTGACATCTGAAAGAGCAATAATTACATTAAGAGGTATATTGGTAATGGTGAACTTTTATTTCCTCCGAACTCTGAATGCAATGAATGTTGTTTTTAATTATGAATTATGAAAACTATAAAATATTCATTTTAATCTTATATATGAGAGTTTTTGTTTGTCTTTTTGGGGGGTACCATTGGAAAACAAAAAATTATATGATTGCACTTTAAGAAATAAGAGATAAGAGGAAACGAATAACCATTTTTTCTCTTAAAGTTAAAAGATTCCTCTTAAAATATAAGAGTTAAGAGAAAATGAATAAGCCCTATATATTTAAACAATGTACAAATAAATATTTTTTCTTTTTTGTCTATGCCTTTTCAAGATTTACAAAAAAAAAAAAAAAAAAAAACTTCCACCAAATAACGAGTCCCACAACCACTCTGTTCCCTTTCCCATTCTCTCTTAAAAGTTGACATATGTAGCACTATACTATAAACAGATGCGTCTTACATCAAATAGTTACAATATTTCGATTGGGGTCCATTAAATGTTAGATGTAGGACCTTTATGAAATGATCCAATTTACTATATATGATATCATATGTATGGTGTAAAGTGTATGATGTATTATGAGACACAAAGCAATAGTACATTGTATTTTAATTTTCTCTCTTTATTTGCATGTACTATGGCTTGCAACTAGTAAAGTCAAACTCATGGGACTACAATCTTAGAACCAATAGCCATGTGGGCTCTCATGGAACAATCCCTACGATCAAGGGATATTTGGAAGGAGTACAAATGAAAATATGTAGAGTGCAAATCTTATGTTTTGTATGTAGTTGTATTGTATATATTTATATTTTTACTCTCATGCTCAATAAATAAATACAAATACAAATATATAGAATGCAAAATCTTGTATTTTGTATTATTTTTTATATATTTTTATTATAGATATTTGTATTTATACTCCTGAACTGAGCCTTAATGTATGACTAGCTAGCATGTGGAAAAATTATGATTTGATGCATTTGTATTTACCAACTTTTGTGAATTTGATTCGTCCTTATCTAACAGACAATACAGGATAATAAATAACTTAAACCTTCTTATGGGTCTCAGACAAATACCAAGACTTCCCATTGGGTTTACCTATTCCCCCCTTCCATTGATTTACCATAAGTTTTAATGATGAAAAATGTATAAATGCCATTTAAATTTTTTCAAAAGTCCATTTTACCCTTTTATTGCATCTTTTTATATATTATTATATAGACAAAATATCCTCGTTCATATCTGTTGAAGAGGTTAAAGTGGAAATGAAAGGATGAAAATAGGTTCTAAAATTGTAATTGGTGTTCATAAATGAGTTTTTTCCCTATAATTGCAAATGACGTTTTTAGCAATTTCAATGTGTATAAAGTTAACATCAAAGTTGATATATTATTACTAAAGCTATCTTGGTCAAATATTATTTTGTCTCTTCACTTGACAACCCCTCAAGGGATGTACAAGTTAATAGTAAACCAAACGGAGGTCTTGGTATTTGACTGAAACCCCAATAGAGTTATACCTAATTTACCCAATAATGTAATGCTTTTTTATCATTGCATTATGGTGAGATATAGGAGTGAAAATGATTTGGTTGCAAACCCTAATTTATTTTTGTCTAAGCTTTTGCCTTGTTTTGTTTATATATAGTGCAAATAAATGAAATAAAGTATAAAGTAGTATAAATTAAAATTTAAATAGGAAATGGGCAATTTTTCCCATTTGCATTTCTAATAATTGTACAAATGAAATTATGTTACAAACAAGAGTCCAGCTCAAAATTAATTCTTATATCGATAACAATAAAAGGTGTTTTTTCAACTACTTCATCAACTTCAGGCACAATGACCATCATTGCCGAACTTTTCGAAAAGACCAAAACTGTTTGTCCATATCAAGATCACCTTCTCTCTTACAATGCTCTGCTATCACTTGCTTAAGCTATCTTACCACAGAAGACATTCCCAAATTTGTCCAATGCCAAAAATTAGAAATCAAACCCTAGGACGAGTAAGGGGCTAGCTTTAGGGTTTTGGTCATTATCAGCCAAATTGTTAAAGAGGATCAATGAAACCAGTGTGTCATATTCACTTGTTTGATTAGAGATGGAGAGAAAACATGGAAAATAATCAATGGGACTAAGGTCCCATTTGGTTCATGGGAATAGGGGTCTGGAATCGGAATGGGCTATTCCGATTCCAATTGTTTGGTTGGATGGAATTGGAATTTCATTCCCATTCCTGCTGGAATGGTATTCCCCCATTTGAGGGAATGGCCATTCCTTGTCCCTCCCTAGGGAATGAAATCCCATTTCTGTTGATTTCAATTCTCATTCCCAATCCTGTCTGAACCAGACAAACTATGGGAATGGCCCATTCCGATTCCGATTCTGGTGGATTTTGATTTTGATTCAAACTACGAATCAAATGGACCCTAAGTGGAGAAAAACAATGAGGTCGCAGGACCTGATAATTTAGACGGTCGAACCGTCAATCTATTTGACCCAAATAATGATTTTTGTTGTTTTTTATTTTAATGATTTTTTTTTAATTTTTTTTTTTTTTACAATCAACCGTTTGTTTAAATTGGATGATTGAACCGTTGACCCATAAACTGGTGGTCAAAGTGGTTTTAGTTACGGATCGGTTTTTTAAAACATTGATGAGAATGGCATTAAAACTCACTTCAAAATATTATGTCTCATGAATAGTTGTGTAAAGCGTTATTTGGCCTTGTCCACATTTATTTCATATGTTTTAATGGAGGAACCACCCTTAAGAAAATTGTTTTTATTTTTTTACAATGTTTAAGACTTGGATCAGCCTAAAAACCAATATGCTCACTTGGTCATCGTTTTATATATTTATTAACTTGAAATAATGAAATAGCCCCGTTAATACATGAAACAATGAAATCCATAATTTAACTAGTATCCGAAAAGGTAGCTGTTCCAAGTTTTCATGGTCTGACCGTTTGGTCTCATTTGAGTCTTACAACAGTAGTTCTTTAAGGTGCATTTGTTTGCGATACAAATGCTGAATTAGGGTATGGTTTGGCTGTGATAAAAAAATAAATGATTAAATTGTCAAAAATGATTTTTATGACATTTTTATATTATGAGAAGAACACATTATTATACTCATTTTTTAGATAAAAATTTGTGCTATTTTAATAATTGGTGTATTTGACAAAAAAATTGAAGGCATTTAATGATGAGGCTTCTATTTTTGCCCGGATTTTAAACAAGGAGGAAGAATAATAGAAAAAACATGTTATGCTTCATTCTTAGACCGAAAATAAAGTATTTACACAAAATACATATTTGTATTTCCATCACAAACAAACGATTAATGAAAAAATTTATATTCAAAGTTCAAACTGTGGTGGATCCTTCAACCCTACATATTTATATTTATACAAATGCATTAAATATTTTTATATTTGCACTCTTACCAAATACATACTATTAACTCCTTCACTCTTATGATGAGATGAACGAAATGTTGTCAATGGGTGTTTAGAGATGGGCCATACTACTTATAAGTCAACACGGTCAAAGTTTGAGGTCATAACTCAAAATAATAATAATGTCTTAAGCATGCTTTTCGGCTTTCATCGTCCATATTACATCCTTTGAATCCAAGCCAATAAGCTGATAATTAACCAGATGAAGAGATTCCGTTCTTTTTGTTCTTCTCGGAAACCGCGCTTCTTTCATGCTTTACGTGATTTTTCCGTTTTGCCCCTTAAACGGTCAACAGGTCGAGACTCGAGAGTAGATAATATCAAGTACAAAGGAACCTGAAAATAAACTAGACAAAGCCCTAATCCCAAAGAAATAAGGGAAAGGGCCCTTTAAACTCCGAAAAAGTCCACGCTTTCTACATTTATTCACGTTTTAGTCCTTTCTCCATTTAAGACATGTTTTGGCCGACCCTTTAATAGCGGAAATCTCCTCGACGACGGTCCGAAAAGAAGAAAAAACAGAGTCGGATTTTTTTTTTAAATTTTTATTTTCTGTTTTTCTTTTTTCTTCTTCTCCCTCCCTCGCTCGCTCCTTTTTCCTGCAAAATTTCAATTTCCTCTTTCGATCTGATCTCACCCGGGTGTTGAATGCCGGTACGTTTTGATTCACTCCAACTCATCGTTCTCGAATTTGGCGCCAATTCAAGCTCCCCTGTTCGAATTTCGCGGGGTTTTTGTTCGAAAACCCTAGATGTTCGATCGAACTTAGGGTTTCGAAACTGGTTTCTCGGTGGCTATTTTTTTCTTCCAAGTGGAAATTTTGTAGTTGTACGGTAACCTGAATCGTTCAATTCGGTTTTGGTTAGGGTTCGTTTGTTATTTTACTGGTTCGGTTGCTTCACTCTGAGTTTCTCCTGAATTTTGTTAAAACCGAGCTCATTCTCTTGTGTTAGTTCATACATTTATTTCAATTCTGATGCTTTCATCGTTAGATACTGCCTCCGACGTTTTCACCTTTGCGTCTGTTCAATTCGAATTTTGTAGCTGTATCGAGTCTATTTGGAGATGGTCGCTATTTTTTAATCGTGGCTTTCATAGCTAGTACTCTTCACCACAGGGTCAAAAATCTTCTTATCCATTCCCTTTGCTTTTCTTCTTTAAAATCTATTTTATTTCGAGAAATTTAGTTGCAAGTGTCTTCACTGGGATGTGCAACTTGTCGAGTCTGAGGAATCAGTTCAATGAACCAATGAATTTCGGATAGATTCCAGCTCAGTTAGATTCTGTCATAGTGTCTTATTGCCTCACAGTTTTAATTTGATCATCTTCTCCACGGGGTTCTATTGCAGGGTTACGGCGCCAGAGTATGGTTATTGCACTACGTAGACTGGTTGTCAAGTAGGGAATCAGTTGTCGATGAGAGTTGTTACGGTTGATTGAATAATGGCGGGAAGTACAAGGTTTGAGTTGGCTTCAGGTAGCCCAGAGGGTTCCGCTTTTGCTAGTACCTATCCAAATGGTCAAAGGGGGAACTATTCCACTGCCGGCTTGGATAGGTCGAGGAGCTTCCGGGAGGGCATGGAGAACCGGATGCCAAGTTCTGGACCAAGTTCATCCAGAGGGATTACCACCTTGTCAGCAAATATGCCACTTTTGTCCCAATGTTTGACATTGGAGCCAATTATGTTGGGTAATAAGAAACCTTTCGAAGATCTAAGGAAGTCTTTTTGTGCTTCTCTTGGAGGCACCTCTGACGAGCAATTTTTTGGAACTTCAATCTCTAAGCCTTTTTCTTCAGTAGTGGTAGAGGACATAAAACGCTTCAGAAACGCAGCAATAGAAGTCTGTAACAAGGCCAGGTAACTTTTCTTATTTTACTTTGACCAGGAACTAATACAAAATTACAAAAATGCTTCTGTTGCACTTATGACCCTTCTATATGCTTTTGGTGTCCTACTGTATGTATGTATAGCTATGCTTTTCCAGCTCATCCATTTGTCTTGGTAAAACAGAGTACTTGGGGCTATTATTCTGTCATTTGAATTTCTCTGTTTCCCTTATTCTTTTATATGACTACAAATGCCCATGGTAACTTTAGTGTACTATCAGAGCGTAGACACAGAAAAATTCCTAAGAAGTTGATTGGGAAATTTCACTTATTCTCTTATATGATTACAAATGTCCTTGGCAACTTTAGTGTACTATCAGAGCATAACCACAGAAAAATTCCTCAGAAGTTGATTGAGAAATTTAGGATGCAGTTACTTTTTGACACTCTCTCTGTAACACTCACGTGGCCCTAAGTAGTGATTGTTTACTGAAGATGCTAATATCTTTTTACCAGGGATAGAGCAAAAACCTTGAGTGATTCCTTAAGCAAATTGGACAAATATTGCGAAGCCCTTGACTCCAGGAAGCAGCGGCAACGGAATGAACTCTTATCAAATGAAAGGTCAAGTGGGACAAATTTGTTGAAGATCGGTAGTCAGATGCATCAAAATCGTTCAGACCTTGTAGGCCAACGGCTGGAGGAGAGGACTAAAAATGTTGTTCCTAATAAGCGTGTTCGGACATCAATTGCTGAAGTACGGGTTTGTATTTGAAAAATTTTCTGGAGGTGTGATCTTTGTTTACACCTTATCTCAAGACTTCGTCTCCTGTCCTCTATAATTGTTTTTACTTGCTTGGGATGATTTTTCATGTTTACAGAATTTACTGTTGCTTAATTTAGTTTTATTCTTTTATATACACATGTCATGCTCTACATAGTAACATTTCCACATGATTTCCCTTGATTTCAAAGGCTGATGTCTTAAATTGAACTATTATTGTTGATGACTCCAAGCCTAATCCCAACTATTATATGGGGTTGGCTACATGAATCCTGTTTCACCATTCAGTTCTGTTTCATGCCATATCAATTATTAAATTATTGGCACTTAAATCATTTCTTACTACATCTACCCAAGTCCTTTTTTTTTATCAATATTCCCAAGTCCTTTTTGCTCTACCCCTAGCCCTTCTTAGCCCCTTCAACTTGCAATGAATCACTTCTTAAGGATTCTGTTGGTGGTCTTCTATGCATTATTGTTGATGACTACTAATATGGAAAATTATTTTCGATCTTGTTCCTCAAACTTGGCATATATTTGATGGTCATTGGAAGTTGTCATGGTATATTTAGGTATTCTTTTTCTTTTTAGTTTCTTGTTGCTTGTTCTGAACATATTTCATTGATTGCACTTCATTTCAGGCTGAAGGTCGGACTACTACCCTCTCAAGGCCACCTGTTGGCATGGATAAGGATAGAGATATGCTCAGGGCTGGTAGTGGAGGTTCTATTCAGGTTGAAGAAAAGATTCGTGGACTCCCTGCTGGAGGGGAGGGGTGGGACAAAAAAATGAAAAGGAAACGATCTGTAGGCACAGTTGTTACCAGAGCTATGGATGGAGACCGTGAAATTAAAAGAGCAATGCGTCAGAAGCTTAATAATGATCCTAGGTCACGAGCTTGTGATACCCATGGATTCCGGTAACTTTTTTTTGGTGTAATTATTAACTTAGGTTCCTTTATTGTTTGATGCTATCTATTATGGGCATGTCCTTCCATTCTAGTATTATTTGGTGGACACACGTATAAAAATGTTTCCCAGATTAGTCTCTCTGTGAACTTTCTTGCTGTTTCATTACCTGTAAGCTGCCCTTTAGTAGTTACAATAATATGTTATATGGCCTAGTAGTTATTTGATTGGCCTACCTAGTTAGAATTGTTGTCATTGCTGTTAATGGGCTCTTGAGGTTACAAAAGTTAGGTATGAAAATATTGAGTGAAATATATAGACTCTTTTGTATATGTTTTGGTTTGTCATATAATTTTTTTCTATTCTTTGCCTTATCTCTTGCCATGGGATTAAATATATAAAAAACAAATATGGAAAGTCATCCAGGTAAGTACATAAGGGAGGTCTACTTTTTTCCAGTAAAATTTTACTGGGAAAGTGAATAACTGATGATTCAGTGGCCTCAAAAGACACTGTAATTGTAATATCCACCACTGAGAAATTTTGAACATGTCTTAAAGCTTAGTTTAAATCAGCATGTTGTGGTGGGCCCTAATCATTGACTTAGTCTTTTGTATTTTAGAACTCTATCTGCTTGTAACCAATAACTTCTGCTTCCAACAAGTTATCATCTTTTGGGAAAAATGTAGAAATTCCAGAGGTCCAGAAGTGACAGTAAGTTGTTGCTCCCCAAAATTGCCTTTGCAGATCAGTTTCTACCTTCAATATTCTTTCTTTTTATTTCTTCTAGTGCCCTAATAGAAAGTGAAGGGAGGATTCTCCATAGAAGCCTCTCTAGTCATCCCATTCAAAAAAGTGATTAGGTAGATCTCTAGAGAAATCAAAACGTACTTGAATGAGAACAAAATAAAAAAAAAGGAAAAAAAATTCAAAGAGAACCAAAAGGGTTTTCCACAAGTACCTTGATGCCAAGATGGTTAATTTGCTTTCTAATCATAACCAAGGGGTTACTTGATTTCCCATTATTCTTTTTTTCTTATTTACTTCTGGCAGGAAATGTAAATGGATGAGGTGATTGGTGATCCATTGTCAGTATTTTGTCATCAAAATGTGAGCCTTCACTTATGGTGGACCTAGGTTAGGTGCTGGAGATGAGTAATCAGGCTGCTTGTTGATAAAAAACCGAACCAAGTTGCTCAAAGATAATTAGAAACAAAATTTTTTCTATTTAATATAAAAAGAACATTAGAAAGATTTAATATGCAATTATCCATCATGAATTTGGTTTGAAGCCATGTGTAGAAACAAGTCTCTGGTATTTGTAGTTTCCTTATAGTAATCACACACCAGATTCTACTTATCTTCCTTACTTACAGCTGAGTGTTCCATCTCAGTCTTCTTAACAACCCTCCTAGATGCCTCTTGTTGAATAATAGAATACACCTCATCAATGGGAGGAATTTTGTTTCTTCCCAGCCCTGACAGGAACTCAAAAACCCAATCCTGATTCTGAAGTTTCTCATACTGGGCACCATCTTCATCATCTTTCCAATGGATTACCCTTTGGCAATCCAATTCTTCCAATGAGGCTTGTAAAGTAGCATAATGGGCAGGTACGCTCATCTCTCCCTGCTTAAAATTTACAATGTCTTGACTAAGCTGGAAAATCTTTGCTCCATTCCTCTGTGAATGTGTTTTATACACTCTTTCCCAAACCTGTGTAGTAGCCCCAAGAAACATCAGGCCATGACTAATTTGGGGAGTCATGGAACTCTTTTTTTTTTGAGAAATAGGTAATGTATTAAAAGAAGCAAAAAGATTTACAAATCCCTTCTCAAAAAGAAATTGAAGCAGGGGAAAGAACCTCAAAAGATGATAATCACGGAACTCCATAACCAAGACATGATAGTCTTGTTTTCTTGTTCCCACACTTCTAGCATAGGATCATCCTTAGCTGGCCTTTTTGTCTCCTCAGTCAAGTAACCTAGTTTACTCTTACTGCCAATATAAACTTTTACAGATGAGACCATAAAAATTGATTCTATCATGCTTGATGGTTGTAATCTAAAGGTTATTTTGATTTCCAAGATTAGAAACAGTCATCCTAGAAGTTGAAGAGGTCGTAGACCTAGATGAAGCAGAATCTTGGGCCATTTCCAATCAAAACGACAACACCAGTGGTTCAGATAAAGGAAACAAGGCCCTATGATAAATAACATGAACAGCTTTGAAGAAACAGCCCCAAACAAAGAATTCTGATGAAGTGTATGTACGGAAAAATCTTAAAAAAAATCATTCCATCACCAAATAATTTCCACCTTCGATTGATAGATAAAGTCCCTGATCAAGTCAATCATTCTTCTGCTATCTTCCATGATCAGAAAACCCCAAATTGAATATTCCTGATTTTCTAGAGGAAAAAAATATTAAACCTTACTGACTGGCTCTCTGATCATGCTTAAAAAACTCCTTAAATCAACTTGATTAAGGGGTAAAAAACCCCTACACCAGCAGTTAAACTTCTTTTGTTGCCCCTGTTATGAATTGAGATGAAGAACTGTCATGCTTGAGCCACAGAGAACACCAGCAGGTTCTAAACCTGAGCTTATACTATCTTAGACAATAACCTACCTTGATTAAATGATGCTTGGAGAATATTCAACCAATGGAAAGAGAAGTGAGGAGAAAAAGAAGTTAATGAGAAGATTAGAGAGGAGAAGGGAAGAAGGTATTGAATAGAGTTGGTTACCAATGAGGTCGGCCCCACCCTAGCTTATTTACATTACCATTTAAATGAAGAGTGATAAAGTTCTGATCTGCACTAGAATCCTGTTAGAATTAGTTTTAGAGAGAGATTAGAAGAGGTATAAGAAAAAAGAGAAGAGAAAAGAAGAGGAGAGAAGAGAAGAGAAAAGAAGAGGAGAGAAGAGAAAAGAAGAGGAGAGAAGAGAAGAGAAGGAAAAGGCTGGTTCGAACTAGAGAGAAAAAAGTCTCTCTCTCTAGTCAGCCAGGTTATATTTATATGTTTCTATTAAATAAAACAAAAGACTATTATGTCCCTACTTAAGTATGGGACACATTACTTAACATAAACATTACACATCAGCTTAAACATAAATAGGACTAAACTACCCCTATGCAGTCGACACTAACAAAGAGAAATTACATGATTGCCCTTACATAAGAAATATAAGACAGCAGCTTTATATTATAAGTATTTCTACACCATGGAATACTAAGAATGAAATTTGATGAGAAGGATGGTAAAAAAAATTCAGTTTTGAGGTTAATAAGTCCTGAATTACATCCTGTCTCCCACTTTCAGATGGATCTTCTCATTTGGATCCTCCAGCATTGTTATTCCCTTTAATATTTGATTCTGATTAAGGGAATGAGAAAAGGTATTTTCCTTGCCAAGAGAAGACTTAGGCTGTGTTTGGCATGCTTTCAGAGAATAAGTTTGATGAATTTTGTGGTCCTAAGAATCACTTTTGAGTTCAGATGCATGAAAACTGCTGGAGCTAATTCTTTTTTTTTTTTTTGGACTTAAAACCCATTTTTCTTTGGAGCTAGGAATTACTTTGTCTCATTTTAATCTGATAAATGCTAATGGAGCAAACTGGTATCCCAAATTTAAATTCAGGTTTATAATATTCTGCATGGCTGGAATAATCTGGCTAAAAAAGGGGTGAACAGGAACAATCTGTTTTGGACAGAATTGTAATGAACTTTGAGGGGCAGAGAAAGCTTTTTTTTCCCCGCATCCTTATCATGCCATCCTGTACATGTTTCGTATTGAATTAATGGAATGAACTTGAGCTATTTATCGAAAAAATGCTGCGTGGCTGGAACTTTTTATCATGTTTATGAAATTATTGGTTTATCAAGAATAAGACTTCTTTTTTTTTTGTATCACGACTCTAGTGATGGTAGTAAAAGGGTCATTCTACTTATTCTTGCATCTACTATTAGATTTCATGTGCTACACATTTATCTTTCTCCCTCTTTGGAAACTGAAAAATAAGTTCTGCCACTTTCAGATCTGTACCCTCCAATGGGATTAGTGGAATCAACAAGTTGGATGGTACTTCCCAGCCTACTAGTTCAAATGCTCGTACATTACTTAAGAATGAGCTGGAAAATGTCTCCCTTCCAAGGGACCGTGCAGCTGGTTTGGATAAAGAGAGAGGTGTGGCAAAGGGAAATAATAAGTATGTATTTCACAAACACATTTATATTATGCTAGATGTTCTAAAGTGGCTATGTGACTGCTGCAGGAACTGTGGAGCACTGCCAAGTTTCCGTTGCATTTCTTGATTGTCTTGACATCCTATGTTCTATTCCCCTTTTTAATCTTATGATGTTTTGACACACTTCGAACTTGTTATCCAGGCTAAACATTCGTGAGGACACTCAGGTGGGCAGTCCTAGTCCAGTTACAAAAGGAAAGGCTTCTAGGGCACCAAGAAATGGTTCTTCTGTGGTGCCAAACTCATCTCCTACCTTCCCCCGTGCTTCTGGAGCTCATGATGTTTGGGAGCAACCTCCAAACTTGAACAAAGTCCAGTCCATGAGTGGGACAAACAATCGCAAACGTCCCATGCCTACTGGGTCATCTTCGCCCCCCATGGCTCAATGGGTTGGTCAGAGGCCACAGAAAATCTCACGCACAAGGAGAGCAAATCTTGTTTCTCCTGTTTCAAATCCTGATGATGCTCAAATATCATCTGATGGATTTCCAAATTCAGATATTGGTTGTAGGTTAACGTCAAATGAAGCCAATGGATCACTACTTGCTAGGGGTGTGCCCAATAACACACAACAATTTAAGATGAAACATGAGAATGTTCCTTCTCCAGCTAGATTATCTGAGAGTGAAGAATCAGGAGCCGGTGAAAACAAACTGAAGGACAAAGGAATGGATAATGGGGACATAGAAGACAGAACCATGAATGCAGCTCAGAAAGTTGAATCTCTCATGCTGCAGAAGAAGAATAAAATGCTTGTCAAGGAAGAAACTGGAGATGGTGTGCGGAGACAAGGAAGAAGTGGAAGGGGTTCTTCCTTGTCAAGAGCATGTGTTCCTCCAGTAAGAGAAAAATTGGAGAATGCAGCCACAACAAAGCCCCTCCGAAGCACAAGGCCTGGTTCTGACAAGAATGAAAGGTATCGAATGCTTTTTCTTGAATCAGGGAGTTGTACTTCTAATTGTGCTTTTTTGGCATAAGTCTCATCAATCTTTTTATCCCAATTTGGTTTCTGTTTCAGCAAGTCAGGTCGTCCTCCTTCAAAAAAACTAGCAGATCGCAAGGCTTTCACTCGTCCTGGGCATGTGATTACCAGTGGTTCCTCAGATTTCGCAGGTGCTTGTCATAATTCATTGAATGTATGTGAATACCTATACACATATCCTGGATGCTTTCTAGAAAACTAAAAAAACACTTCAATGCTTATAAAAAAACGAAAAAAGGAAAGAAAATTAAAAATACTGCAATTTTCTAAGAGATTTTTTTTGGGAGAAAAAAGGTTGTATTGATCAATTTCTGATAAAAAATATATGAAGAAGTTTTTGAGAACAATGACTATCAACTCCTTTGTAGAGATGTGCTATCTTGTAAGTTTCTTCTTTTTACTGTGAAGCATCGTTATTTCTGTACACAAATTTCTATTTCTGTTGATATTCAATAGAAAAAAAACTGGATTTTCCAATTTTTTTCAGTGATCTCCCTCAGTATTTATGGTTGATCCTCAGTGAACTATGAAGTGATGGGTTTGTTTTGGTCAATGGATGGTATATGAGCCAAATATAGATTTTTGACTTTTGGACAAGAATCTTGGACAAGCAAAAAAAATTCTTGACATTGGTTTTAATACTATGCTTTTCATTTTTTTTTCCAGGTGAATCAGATGATGACCATGAAGAACTATTAGCAGCTGCTAATTCTGCCCATAAATCCAGCTGTATGCATCCATCTGAATTCGTTTTTCTTTCATGAATAAGCATCTTTTCCTTTTGGTTGTGTTGGTGTCATCAGTAGGCATTTTTTATTTTCTCTGCAGATCTTGCCTGTTCTAGTTCATTCTGGAAGAAAATAGAACCACTTTTTGCTTCTGTTAATTCAGATGACTTGGCATATTTGAGGAAACAGGTGAAAAAGATGTATATTGTATTGGCTATTTATTAATTTTTAATTTGACTTTCAGATGCTTACCAATTTTTATTCATTTTTTGGATCAGCTGAATTTTGTGGAGGAGCTTGAGAAAAGTCTGTGTCACATGTTTCATGCTGATTCTGACCTCCTGGTATTATCTATTGATAACACTGTTTGTTTTCAGCATCTGTTGTATAGTTTGCACTGCTTCAAGTTTTTTTTTTTCCTTTTAATTGATAGTGGTGAGAAATGAGATGGTGAATATGCAAGATATCCGTTCAACTTCACAAAGAAGGGAGACAACAAGATGTTAGAAAGCAGTGAATCCAAATCTTCATGTTCCTGCATACACAAAATCTACCCCTAGATTGAGTGCATATGATTAGCAAGAACACTGATTCTCAGGAAAATAGAAGCTGAAGTAGACTCCGAAGTAATTGTAAATTGGGTAAGGAAAGAAAGTGAAACTGTGGAAATGTAGACATGCAATGAGGGAAACCAAAGGCTTAGTTACAGATTTTGAGGCAACTGTTAAGGGGTGCAAAGGTTGGCTAACTCACTTGCTGACCAGCTTGCAAAGTACAATAATGGGACAGGTGGAGTTGTCTCCAGCCTATGCCCTGCTTGTACTTAAGATGCATACTTACCTATACTTTTACATGATTAAAAATGTAACAGTTAACCATCAGGAAAGAAAAACAAGAACTGCTTCCTGTCTACCAAAGTGGCAAAACCATGGTTAGCTAGGAGTAGCCCTGATAGGTTATAAAATGAGTGGAAGTAGACTAACATGGTTTAGTCATGTGAATAGAAGGCTATCTATAGCACCGATGAGAAAAAAAAAGTGATTTATTGCAAGTTAAAGGGTCTAGAAGAGCTAGGGGCAAGCCAAAAAGGACATAGGTTGAAGTAGTGAGAAATGATTTAAGAGCTCATAATTTAACAATGAAATGAATAGAGTGCAATGGCAGAACAGGATTCTGTGGTTGGCTACCTATAGTTAGAATAGGGTTTTGTTGAGTTGAGTTGTATTTGGAGGAAATGGGCCCCCTTCAAAAGTTGGAATATATACTTAGGGTCTTCAATCCCTTTCTTGTCCATAATTGTAAATGTGCTAAATTGAGGCTGTGTGACAGAGGAGCCCCTTGTCTTCTAGGTAGCTAGAAGCTGCCTAGGTGATGATTTTCCATACAAAAATCTTGGGTGATTTTAGATTGTTTTTCTATGAATTGTATTATTTCTCTAGTTGGTGTAGTAACCAAAATCATTTTGAGTGATTAACATAAAAAATCACACACTAAAATTAGAATGAAGACAACATTGTATAGTCTATGAAAAGTTGGGGAATGGATTCCTGTTCTGTTAATGCAGCAGGGGGATATAGAGGGAATGTGTATGTGCACTAAATAAAAGGATATAAAAACAAACATATGAAAGAATGAGGCCCTTATCATTATGAATGCGATAAAGAGATAGAAGAGAGAATATGCAGGTGGATTATTGTAAAGAAAGGAGAAAATAAAAGAATAGAGTCCTTATTCTGGTTATATTTTGGAAAGATGGAGAGGAGTGATTGCAGTGGTGTTTTTTTTATTTATTTTTTTGATAATTGTAATTACAGAGGATTCGAGAAAGAGAATATACATGTCTTCAAAAAAAGAAAAAGAAAAAGGGAATAACAAATTTATAAAATTAGTTGTTTCCAATAAAAAAGGTTTTGAAAAAGAAAATATAAGTTAAGTGGTAAAATCCACTTTATGTCTCTTTTAAGTTGTTGATCTTTTTATGATTGATTTCCTTTACACCCTTCTACCTTATTTATACAACTTGATATTGCTTAACTGCACCACACCCAAAATTATTACACCTTACATATGGGAACACCAAGGTGAGGCACATGTCTATCCCAAAAAACATGCCTCGCCTAGGAGTTGCCTTGACGAGTGTGCTCTCATCATGCTAAAACAAGCTGTGAATTGCTCTCTACTTAATTCAACATCCATATCTCATATGGAGCCATCTAGGTCAACCTTTATAATCATTCTCTTGAATCACAGATAGGTCCAACGTCTCAACTCTATTTCACCTTGCTTATATATAAATGGCGTTAAGATTTCACTAAGTGGATTCTGATATGTGTGTGTTTCTGACCAAATAAAATCAGAAATCATAGGAACCATTCATTCTAACATTAAATTTAAACTACAGATCTCCTTCTTTTAGTAGTTCTGAGTTTTTTTCCCTCCTCAGGGTGAGCTTGTGCGTGAAGAACTGTCATTATCTCAACCTATTGTTTCTGGAGAAAGACAAGTCAGTTGGCCAAATGGAACGGGCTCCAATGTATCAGCTACAACTGCAGATTTGGTTGATCCGTTAAAAGACATTGATACATTAGATATGAAAACAAAGTTTCAGAAGGTTACTCCACTGTACCAAAGAGTTCTCTCAGCTTTGATTGAAGAGGATGAAAGTGAAGAATTTGACCGTGAAAGTGAAAGAAGTGTTTCTTTTCATTATGGTGAAGATTCTCCTTATGCTACATGCATGAATATTGATTTCGAACCTAAAGATGGGGACAAAATGGAACCTGAAACTGAGTCAGAATTAGATATTAGAACTCAGAAGAAGTGTCCATTGGATGCATTTTCATGTGATGGGAGTACTGCTTCTAATAGATTTAGAGGTCCAAACATCCACAAATCTTTATATAGTGATGAACTATGGCAAAGAGATGGTGGCTTGGTACACTCAGATGTTGGGGTTGTCTCTGGCTTCGATCAAACAAATTTAGATGGATCCCAACATTCACATGCAGATGCTTCTGGCATTTCTTCATTTGACTCACAATATCAACAAATGTCTCTGAATGACAGACTCTTGTTGGAGCTGCAGAGTATTGGCCTCTATCCAGAAACAGTGGTAGGCTCCATTTTATAATTCGTGTTTGTCAGACATGATATTTTATTATTTGCTTAAAACGGTTTTTGAAATTCTGCTGCATTTTTTCTTGGCATTAGTTTTGAAGATTTAGTGTACATGAACTTTATGCATTTGTTACATCTTTATTGCAAGACATTTGGTAGTTTTATTGCATAGTGGTACTTTTTTCTCAATCATGGCATCATTGTTGGGTAATTGTTTTTCTGAATCTCTTATTTAGGCTTTTTTGGGCTTTCTTTTTCAGCCTGATCTAGCAGAAGGAGAGGAAGAGATAAATAAAGACATCATGGAACTTAGGAAAGGGCTTTATCGACAGGTCTTGTTGCACTATGTGTTTGTCTTCTTTGTAGTATACTTGTGTATCCATCTTTAGGTTAAATAATTTCTTGCTGATATCAGGTGGGAAAAAAGAAAGGTCAGTTGTCCAAAGTAGATAAAGCTATTCAAGAAAGTAACGTGGTGGAAGAACGGTAAGGTTCTCCACAAATTGGACATGTTTCACAATTAGACTTTTTAATGTTACTGAATTTAACACATTTCCCATTCTTTGGGTATGTTTCTCACATTAGACTTCTTAACCTTATTGAATTTAGCAAACTTGTTTAATGTGCAGGGAGCTTGAGGTGCTTGCAATGTCCAAACTTACTGAGATAGCTTATAAGAAGCTATTGGTAAGTTTGAATTTTATATTTAAGAGAAATCTACTGTGTTAATGAAAAAAGTGGAACCATATGATATTGATAGAAAGCCATGACACTCTTCATTACCAGAGAACCTAGGTCTAATCCATAGTCTTATCTGGTTTCCCTCTATAACTAAAACACAACAAATTTTCAATTTAGTAAGAATGTGCCTTAAAACAGATAATTCCTTTTCCCAGAAAGTATGATCCTTATCTGTTGTCTACCCTATCTTCACCTGTAAGTTGTCCTATGTGTGTCCTTTTACTGCCCACTGGTACTGAAAGCCTGAGACCTTGAATCAAGGATAATATCTTGACAAGTGCCAAAATTGCTTGTCACCTGGATCTAGGGTTTTCTTCTCAAGAAGTTGCAGCCATCTGTATGCTGCTGCTGATGTCATCAGGATCCTTTTTTTTGAAAAGTAAAAGAAAAATTCATTAATAAAAAAAACAGGTTACAAGCACCAATATATATCATGAGAATGCATGGTGTTATGGAGTGTAGATCATGACCAATATTTAACAAGTTGTGATTCCATAATTTACTTTCAGTATTAGGGCTGCTTAATAACAGCTGAAGTGGATGAACTGAATGACTTATTGCTTATTATTTTGAGAAGAGCAATTGTGTGCATGTTAATGATTAACAAATGGTGTGCACTAGGAGATAAACAAGGCTATACAAAAAAGTTAAAAAGACAGCCCTCAAATTTGTAACTTGAGGAAGTGTACTGTCACTATGCATTGTTTGGTAATAAAATTAAAATTATTAAAATAATAAAAGAAAGTACAAGAAAGGTGACCAGAAGTCACCCGTGAGGAGAAAAAAGAGACCTAACCCAACTACAGCCCAACACTCCACAGAACCAGAAACCGAACAATGTTACCTCAACTGGGAAAAACTCCCCATAATAATTGATCCAAACAAACCAGACAACAACAAAATCAGCCCTCCTGACCCCAACTTACCACACAGACATTGCAACTCTCCTCACTCCCCTTAAAGACCAAGGGAAGCATTGACACTGCCCCACCGGCTTAAAATCTCTCAACATTTTTCCTTGCTGAGCTCATCAGTGGAAAGTGCAGGACCTCTTTTATTCCTCTTGTCCACCTTCTTACAAGGTCCAATACCAAATAATTCCCCTTTCAACCTGGCAAAAACTTTTGAAACCGGAACAGTATGATTTTCCCCCTTCTGAAACATCTCACAGCAGTAGGACCCTCCAATAAAGCCTGCAAGTCTAATGGGTTCTGATTGATCCTCTCTAACTCTAAAATCACATTTCTTTTGAAAGTTTGTTCTGCACCTCCTTACCCTCATTATCATTGCCCCTTGCTAAGCCAATAAACTTTCAACCTACCTTGAGCATCCTTAACCCTGAGATTAGAAGCTTCCACTTCACTATCCACTTTGGAATCTAGAGAACTTTTCTTCCAATTCCTTGAAAAATTTCATTGCAAATCCCCCCCACCAATAGAACACAAGCCCAAAGTCTTGCTCATCTCCACCTCTATGTTCTCCACTTTATATCCAAATCTATTGGTCTTATGATATCATGAATTTCTTTTATAATAACCTCCTCGCCTGGTTCAGATTCTTCACCTCCAACGTCTTCAATCTTATCATCTTCATTTAACAACCTCGTTCTGTAATTCCTTATTCTTTTGTAGACATTTGGATGATGAACTTCACGATCTTCTCTTACATGTCTTTCCTCCTTTTCTTCTTTATTTCCTGACTCTTCCCCATCATCTTGAACTTTTCTTTCCCCAACTCTTTAGCAGTTTCTTTGTCATTCACCTTATCTCTTGTTTCCAGCTCAGTTCTATTAGTGTCTAAAGCTTCAATCTCAACTGCTTCATTGTTAAGGTCACCGCCTTCCTGTCGATTCACGATTCGTCTTGCTACCTTCAAGCTTACTTTCAGTTGTCTTGGTGGTTTTCTCCCTATTTGAAACTAAAACTTATGTAAATGGCCTTGATCATCATGATCAGTTCTCTATCAAGTCCCTTCATCCCTTGTTTAAATGATACCATAATAGTAGTGTTTTGAAATGGTAAAAACTGATCTTATCATTCCATTGCCAACCAGCGTATTTATACAGTAAGCTGCTGCAATAAATAGAAAACATCTTCCTAAATCAATCCCTATAATTAAGGGACTAACTATTTTAATCCCCATATTAAAGGGATTATACTCTTCCACAATCCTAGGAATACATATTCACACATTCCTATTTTTACACAACTACCAAATATAGATGCTAACTACCAAATATGCATCTATACYAGTAACCCCACGTTTTCCAACACTCCCCCTCAAGCTGGTGAATAGAGATCCTCCATTCCCAGCTTGGCTACAATTCTACGAAAGTCTATACTATTGAGCCCTTTAGTAAGTACATCGGCCAGTTGTTCTTTTGTAGATACATAGGGAGTGCAGATCAACTTGCTGTCCAGTTTCTCTTTTATAAAGTGTCGATCAATTTCAATGTGCTTCGTCCTGTCATGTTGAACAGGATTGYGAGYGATATTGATGGCTGACTTGTTGTCACAATATAGTTTCATAGGCTCTTCTCGTGGAATCTTCAAGTCTTCTAAAATTATCTTCAACCAGAGTAATTCACACACTCCTTGTGCCATAGCCCTGAACTCTGCCTTTGCACTTGACCGAGCCACTACATTTTGCTTCTTACTCCTCCAAGTGACTAAGTTTCCTCCCAAGAAGGTACAGTAACCAGAAGTGGACCGTCTATCTACTGGAGATCCTGCATAATCGGCAT